ATCTTAATATATATTGCTCTCCATAAAATCTTTTTTTCCCTTTAAATTCTTCTAGAGCCAATATATAATAAAGATAATATTAAATCAAATTTATTCTTATCTAAATGAATTTAAAAAGCCTAGAAACTATATATTTAATATTAGATAACCACTATCTTTTATATATCTATCGAATATTTTTTAATTAATAGAATCAGAAAAATAATTATCAATAATATATATTTCATGGGAATTCTTCACGAGATAATATCATAATAGAGAATAGATATCATAATCTCATATCATATGAAGAATAAAGAAAAAATAAAAAGAAAATCAGTGGTATGATGATAAATTTATAGATAATATGATGATATCTAATATAATCATAATTAATACGATAACGACGATATATATCATAATAAAGAATTGGATGTGGGTGTCATATGACAGAAGATATGATGAATAAGATACCGACGGCATATTGATAGACATCGGATGGATAGACGAGACGACGACGAATCTTCGCAACGACACGTTCTTCGCGATGTTTTTCGTAAGATCGACACCGCCGAACTAATGGCACGAAAGAGTCGAGCGGACGGCGGCATGAGAGCTCAATCATCGTATGACCAACCGAAAAAATCAACAAATGCATTTATGTAGGTACCTTGTCCCATTAACCGGCTCTATCAAGTTCTATGAACATCACAAGATCTTGTAGATTTACCATTCTTGAGGTTACGGCTTGATTTCAGCATGAATGACGGTCAGAATGTCCAGCAGCGCGGGAAGGAGCTCATTGAGGAAGTAGGGCGGTTCTGACAAAAGCCATGAAAATGAGCTCTGCTGATACAGTGATCTGATGTAGCTAAAAGCAGGCCAGGGCTTCTCAAGGCAGCTGCAACGGACCATGCCTTCAATCCTGCTCCTCGACACTTGCATTTCTGCGTCGCTCAACTGGTCAACTTCTGGTGCTTCCAGAATCCTACCGTGGTCGGGTCCAGAAGGTCCGGAAGCTGACTTTGCGGAACGGACAAACTCCGAGAGAGCTTGGCCATCCACGAGGACGGACTCCCAGCCCTCGACCTGGGAGACAGGGCCAAGGCCGAGGCCCTTTGCACCTCCAAGTATCTTAGAAATGACTTGAAAACCATTTTGGCCCTGGGATCGGTAGGCATCGGAACGAGCAACTACTAGCTGGCTAGCAGCTACACATGCGGGTTGACACATTTACCGCTGGGCCGGCGGCTTCGTCTGAAGCGCTTCCACTTCCTCACAGCATCTCGCAGCTCTTGCAACCGGATTCGACAGGTGCTCGAAGTGGGGGATCAAGACTCTCGGCTCTGGCCTCGTTTCAGCATGGTGCTCAGCATCACTGCACCTGGGAACGGACTTTCGTAGCCCCAGCTAGGGCAAAACGTCTGGTCTGCTAAAGTCGTTTCTCTCCGGTCAGACTGGGAATCAAGCACTGTTGTGGAGGAGCCTCCAACGTGAAGTGAAGCTGCCAACGCTGAGGGACCTGTTCCTGGCTCCCGGGTTCTTTCATGGCTCCATGTGTCTTCTAGCGTCCTACCAGAATCTGTAATGTTTGTCTGTAGAGATTGTGCTTTCCAAGATATCCAGAAGGCATACAGGTCTGTCTCCCCTGCCCCAAGGTCGCGACAAGGTTGCGCAGGCTGAAGCGCTCGACCTTCCAAACTCTGAGCGCTCCGCACAACGGATAGGCCGCACGGCATGTTTTCTTTGGCCGCAAGCAGCTCTCCGAGGCACGGCCTTTCAGGCACGAATCCAGAATGCCGGGAACCCGGCCACAGGTTGCCAGGCACTTTGCACGATGCCTCCAGCAGCTTTTCGAGGTCTTGCCAACCGGCCCTGGCCTGAAGTGGCCTTCGGCGGCACCATTACGGGAAAGCGTTGCCTTGGCAGAGACAGCGAGGAGTCGTATGGATTCTCACTCCAGATCCATTCCTTTCATTCCGGGACTCTTTCATGGGACCCACACACGCCGAAGTGGAGGCAGAAGACGTGAGGTCTCCCGCAGCATCCACCGCTGCGGCCTGGCATTTGATGAAGGCTCGGCAAGGATTCACAGTGGATTGCGAGCGTCCAAACAAGAAGATGAGGCTACCTGTCCTTGACCCTCGAATCAGCCTATGTTGACCTGTACTTCCACGCATTCTTCTGCAGCAGTTCGGCCACAAAACCATGCGAAGTTCACGCGCAGAGGAGCTGAAGAAGCCTCAAGTCGAGATGTGCAGCACGCAGGAATTATGCCTATCAGGCTTCTCCATCTTGGCTTGGCAAGTTCTGCTCATGGCCGCAAGAGACATGCGACCTGCCCCACAAACCTGCACCTACGATGCTGCGACCAGCAGCCCTGGTGCAAGCAAGCTGGGACTGCCACGGGTAGAGACGAGACGTGCGTAGTCTCTCCCAATTCGGCTGCATCTGAGTATCTCGACATGCTCCACCGAAGCGACTGCAGTTGTGGCAAACTGAAGATCTAAGTCCCACTCCGCAGTGGCGTTGTCGTCCTGCTTCCTGCGCGATGCAATTCAAACACGTCTGCTTGGAGTATCTTGGAGTTGCCCAATGCTTGCTGCTGGCAAGCACAAGCTTCAACCGCGGAAATTGTGCATGGCCCGCACTGCGAAGTGGGAAACAGCTGTCAGTCCTGCTTGCATCCGCCAAATACCTTGCAAAGAAGGCCTCGAAGGACCGGAGATCCTCAAAACAGGCTCCAATCACGACACGTCGAAACTATCGCTGCCCGCTGCCTCAACCTGCTCGGAGCCTGCCAAATCACCAGGGCACAGCCGAGCGCTTTCCTTTCAAGCAATGGGGCGGGCCTGCTTGCCTGGATGCGCGGCACGAGAAGCGGATCGACAAGCCCTGCTCGAGTGCGTTTGCATTGCAGCTGGACTGTAGCTCTGGGGCCTTGTGGGAGCGAGGGCATTCCGTTTGGGACTTCCGCGGCCTCGTTGAGACGCCTTCGCTTCTCGCGGCGTTCCGTTGAGCTCTCAGCCTGAGGGCTCGATACCACAGGTACTGCTGCACGTAGGTGCCCGTTACTATACGGAAACACGCAACACTCATTTGCCGATGTGTCGATACAATTCCCGCCCGAACTGATGCATGCCTCCTGTTGATTCAAGGCAACATGCAGAAGATCGAGAGATATCGAGAGTCTACTGTCTTGGTTCCCTCCGTGCACCTCTCGGCCCTGCCTCGGACATCAAGTCCAGGCACGCCGTGGCATTGGCGGCTGGCAGCTGCAGCTCGAGACGCACCTCGGACCCCCAAAGCATCCCCTGCTGCGTTCCGTGAATGCTTCTGCAGTTGCATGCCATAACAGTGCTGCCTCCCCTGTTATGATAAGTTGTTTGGCCAACGTGTGGCGTTCCTAGTAAAGTTCGGCCGAAGCCTCTAGCCGGTCGTCCGTAGAGGGATTCGAAGGCTCCGTCTTGCCGAGGCTAGAGGGATTCGAAGGCTCCGTCTTGCCGAGGCCCTGGCCCATCTTTGTGGCTCGCCCTGTGCGGATGTTACCTCACGCAGCTTCCAAGGGCCTCCGAAACAAGTGCAGGCATCGCGCGGCTTCAGCAGTGTTGCATTTCTGCATCCTCTGCCATTTATCTGCCTGGACCCTGGTTTGGATGAAGGAGGTAGACTTTGAGCAGCAGCGCATAGAGCCGCAAGTAGAGCCAAAGAGAGCTCAAGCCTAGGGCGTCAAGGACAAGGTCTTGTGAAGGGAAGGAAGCATGGCATGGCCGGGGTATCCTGGGCAGCATGGTACTTGGAGTATAATTATAACCTATATTAGGGGACTTATAACTCCACTTATAACTACCCATGAACCTCCAAAGTATGGATGCCGAGCAACGCTTTGCGAGCTCTCCCGGCCGGAAGCGGAGCAACTGACCCGGAGCATCACCGTGACCTCGTGACGTAATCACACGGAGCCTTTCCCAAGCACCCGACCCCAGCTCCCCGGCTCCAGCCTGGCTCGCCGACCTTCGGCCCTCCTCCCCGAAGGATGAAGCGGCTCATGACATGCAAAAAAACATCGAGCCACAGCCCTCGCTTCAGTTTCGCAGACCCGCCGCAGCCTTCTATTGGATGCTGCCCCCCCGTGCCTTCGTCGTATCTTAGCTGCCACTAGCCACTAGCTAGCAATGAGCGAGAAGTGGGCGCCCCAGTCTCATGACATCTGCGGTGCTTTGCGGTTCCCCCCACGTTCATGACTCGTTTCCGGGGCTCGTGGCAAGATTCCTCCGTCTGCATGTGATCGCGAAATGAGGCTTTTCACGAGTAGCATTTTGGAAATTCTCATTACAAGCCCTGTTTTCCATGCAATTACTGTCACAAGCTGAAGATAGCTGAAGACAGACGTAACACCATGTAAACGCTGATGATCGAGACTCTCTGTCATAGCTCCCCCTTGTGTAGAAGATTGTAGAAGCATCAAATGAAATCGTCGCGAATCTCGGGTTTGACTGCATCTTCTTCGCTACACTCTTGGGTACGGATCTGCACAGTTTCGAACTGTGCAGGGCTGCCACAGCGCCACAAGCTTGAAGCCAACATTCCCAGAGCCACCAAGGCCAATGGTGCGAACAGGTCTGCAACTTCGCAAGAACACAACTACCAACGCTTTCCAGGCAGCATGCTTTGGACATGTCCGAGTCGGCTCTTGGAGACTGGGGGCTTGGGCTGGGCAAGGCCCCAAGACGAGCAATCAATGCAAGCCAAGCGCCCGAAAGAACCCTACGTTTCACGGCGTGCAAGTCGGAAACCTTAGATGCAAGGAACCAGAGAAAACATGACGTTGAAGTGGCTTTGCTGATGCCAAATACGTCGCGGCATGCCGTGCAGCAACCATTTCTGCACCCAAAAACTCGTGACGGCGAATCCGCCGTGGGCACCCTCGCACCGCTTGCACGGGCTGCACAGTCTGCACCCGCCAAGCACAACCACCGCTGATCGCCTCAAAACTAGGAAATCCCAAAGGCGCTCCGGGGCAGCGTCGATGTCTTGTCGACAACCGCCCTCGCTTTTCGACCGGTCGTGTACGCGGACACCGAGGGCCAAGTGGTTCGGCAAGGGAGCACCCTTAGGCCCTAGGCCCCGCATGATGAAGGGTTTTGGCGATCAGCCATCCAGAATGTGCAGCAGGAACTGCCGTCGCACCGCCACCGCCGTGTGTTCCACAAAGTATTCCCAAGAACGCAGTCTTCTATCGCACAACTGCAAGAACATCGCTTTGCTCCCAGATGACTGTGCTTGAGTGGGAAGAAATGTGACCAAGAAAATACCTGTCTTGCTCGCATCTCGTAACCGAAACCCCCATCTTGCACCCTGCTCCTGCCGAACTCGAGAGGCTGCTCAAGAAGCCTCGAAGGTTGGCGACGACCTAGGCATGCTCAACAGACTCGGCCGTTGTCGCACATTGCCGCTACGCAGCCAACGAGCTCTCAGTCCGGTACAGCCACCTCCTTCGGTGGAAGACGCCTGGAATCTAAGCCACTCACGCTTGCTTACGGAAGGCTGGGCTTCCAAGCTTCCGCTGCCTGGAGAGGCAGCTGATGCGCACCGTGGAGGGATCCAGCGCAGTGAGCTCGACGCCCAACATTCCGCTGCATCTCACCTTCACGTGCCAAGTCGGGATTTGATAGCGTACCAGGCAGGGAGTGTGATCAAGAGAAGTATCAGCAAGCAAAGACTGCACCTGCAGTTACTGCGCCATCGGCCATAGGTACACACCTTTAAGATCCTCCAAGCAGTATCGACTCAGCTACAGCTGCCTGCACCGTCGTGGCACCGGTCACGGCACAGCTCCAAACCTGCCGATCAGACGACAGGGTCTTCGGAACTGTCAAAACGGTTGCTCGAGCGTGGAAAACGATCTATCCACAACCCTTCCCCCCTTAGACCGGAGGCACACCTCCGCGGCCGCCTTCGGGTCAGATCTGCTCCTGCACGGTGCAAGAGATGGCACGATGCTTTCTTTGAAGGCATCAACGCGCTTGCAGCCATCATGGTAATCCGGGGACTCACAAGTCCCTGAGTGGCCAACCCCGTCTGGTCGGTTTTTTGCAGGGCCAGAGTCACCTCCGCTGTGCACCCTCTGCTCACCAGGACGTGCGATCACATGCGGATCGGATGAGGTCAGGGGCGTCTTCGATGCAACGTGCCAGCTCCAGGGCCTTGGTCCCATTGGTGCAGCGATGTGCACGGGAGTGCGCGAAGGACACCCCCCTAGGCCCTAAAAATTCTCCCAAAGCTGACAAGCAGCTGCAGCGGCAGCATGGAGGGTGTCGCCCAGGTGCTTGGTCCGGTTCAGCCTGGAAGAGGGCTACGATAGAACTGGAACATCTGCAACGGCAACCCGCCTGCCTCCTCCCTAAGCGGTCAGCCAGGATGCACGGACGTGGAGACTGGCGCAGAACACGAACACAAACATGCCTACGCAAAAGGAGCTCTCCCTCTCGCAGCGGTTGAGGCCGTCTTTGGTCCAGGAGCGGCTCAAAGGTTGGGGTCGGAGCTGCTCACACTAAGCACTGGCAGCCACTGGCACTGGGAGATTTTCTCCTCTCAGACGGTGGTCAAGACCTTGACTGTCAGAACGCAGACTGCAGACTGGAGTGAATCCTCCTTGGTCGTCTCCTGTGGCTGACATGGCTAGGGCAAGCGCCTGGCCCATGTACAGATTGCCTGTTCCCTGCACCGGCTCCTTCCAAGCGCAGGGATCCAAGCAAGAACACGGCCACAAGGATTCCGAAGCCTTCTTTTGCTTGTGGAACTCTGGCACTTACACCTAAATCAGGCCGATCCCTCCCCAGCGCCTGCTTCATGGCAGTGCCTTCGACAGTCATGTTGCCTGAGCTGACGCAACGGAACGCTACTGGTACCGAACCAAAAGAGCCAACGAGTCGTTCTGACCCTGACGGTTTGTCAAACTTGCTTCCTCGCTGCATCGATGCATGGCTGCTGTCATGTGCAGCACCCACTGAAGTCTTTTCTGCTTCCGAGACTGTCTGTTCGGCTGTGTTTCGGACGTTTACCTTGCTTTGACAGTGAGCATGAGCAAGCCCAAGTCTCCGGCACCATGTGGGCTTGCAACTTGGGCCACCGAAGCAATCGGCTGTGCCCTTCAAGACCTGGGACACCATGATGGCCCATTCCCCACTTTGTGCCAGCAGCTGAAGCAGAAAACGGTACGACATGTTCGGGGAGTTTGGGGGGATACTGCACCCTGCTCCATGGGCGGCTTTTGGCTGAGACACCAAGAAGCGACCACCAGAGTGTGACACGCAGTCCTCAGAAGAGGCAAATTGGAGTCACACGCCACAGAGAGCCGTCCCGTCTGTTTTTGACCTAGGGTCCGCCGAGCTCTGGCTCGAGATCTTTCCGCAGGACTCCTCGGCTCCCCAAAACGGGCCGGCGACCGAAAATCGGAAGAACCGGAAAAACCGGAAAGAAGACGCCTCTTTCTGCTTTTCTGTCTGGAGGCTGAGGTCTTGAGGCTGCCTCCGGGGCCGTCGTTGGTGATGAAGACCTGCGGGCTGCGGATTTCGTCTGAGTTCTGATGGCTCTGAAGTCTCGGGAAGCCTCAATGTCAGTGGTGCCAGGGTTCACCTCCACCGGCGTGGCAGTGCGAGACGTCTCGAGACTCAAGACATCCTCAAGCTCTGCCTTGGCAGCCACCTTCCCGACCGGCTGGGAGGATCCAAAGTCCTCAGCTGACCCTCGTGCCTCTGTGATTCTCTGAGCTTCGTCGATCCCCGCCAGCTTCGCAAATGGGCTCCAGGCCCAGTACACGGCACTTTGCTGATTCAACCTTGCGATCGGAGTGGATTCTGCAGACACTGCAACAAGCTGCAACAGACGCTGCAAGGACCTCGGAAGCTCCTGACCTAATCCTGAAGTGCTTGTAGCTGTATCAACACCTGAAAAATCCTGAAAACCTGAGCCCTGCACCCAGAGAAACAGGTGGCCGTCAACGCGGCTTTGCTCTGCACCTTCGCCTCCTGAGCCGGGACAATGATTGTGGGTGCCCAGTGGCTATCGTGCAATGGCCTGATCTTCTGAAGCCTCTATAAGATTCTAAGAGCTTTGTGGCCACGTTGGAAATAGAATCCCTCGAGTCGAAACCAAAGGCGCCGAAAACCCTCATTGCAGCTGGCCTCGATGCGGCGCTGCATCTTCGTCTGCGGTGAGTTGCAGGCTATGAGGACAGGTCTCAAACGCACCAGACCGCCACTCTGCCTTGCAGGGGCACTCCCCGGGGCCCTTGTTGGGGACGGTGATGTTCGGAGCGCCGTCCTTGCAGTGAGGCAAGCAAAAGGCAGGTTGGCGGGCACATGGCCGGCGGAGATGGGAGAGCTGCATGAGCGACGAGTCCTCCACGTTGCGAAGGGAGTTGTCTGGGCACTTGGCATACTGGCAGCTTCCAGAACCGACCTCGGCCACATCACAGAAACTCAGCTTGCACAGCACCCAGAGCTGAGGCCCCCACATTCCAGAAGAAGGAGCCTCAGCCCAATACCGAACTGCATGTCATGCCGCGTGCCACTCCACCACCAGCCACTTCCCGGGAGGCGGGCTTTCGCAAGTCACTTGCGCGCCCAGTGCATACGCGTCGCCCATCTTGCTCCAGCCCATAGCGGTGTCTGGGCAAAGCATTGTAAGAACCAGGTGCTTGAGTACGAGTACCACTGTTGTACGTACCACCACTCCCAGATGATGCAAAATCATGCAAAGGTCTAGGACTAGGAGTCCTTATCCGTCTCTCCCCCTGCATCCTTCTGTCAAAACACTTCCGAATCTCTCTTCTCACCAAGGCACCGATGGGAGTGCTCTGCCAGGGCTCTAAAGCCACGCAGACCTCGACCTCCTCGTGGATGATTCCGGCATGTTCGCTACCGAAGGGCTGCGCTCTTTCAGGTGTGTGTTCTATCATCACATCACATCCAAGTACGTGTGTACACGTATGCATGCACACTCATGTTGTGTGCCACGTGCATGAAAATATGGATTTATACATGACACAAGAGTCGGAGGCCTTGGAGACTATAGAGTTGGACCGTCTGGATCTGGCTATGCATTGACGCAGCTCCTTGAACTGTTTGGAAGTGTCGGAGAGCCCGCAAGCATCCTCGCAAGACACGACCGGGCAGGCGCTGAGGCCTCGCACAGGGAGAGCAAGCGAACACAATAGCAGTTGCCGGATCCTGTTTTCATTGGCATCATGAGGAAGCAGTTGGAAGGATCAGGGTGCGTGCGCGAGTTTGGCCGCTCATCGGTAAGGGCTGGGGCTTTATTCTGGCTTTATTCTGTCGAATCACAGTGATAAGTTGATGCAGAAAGGGTACTTGCGTCTCGCAGACATACTGCAGAACACAATCTGCATTCAGGGGACGCGGGGGGAAGCTCCAGTGCAAGCATTCATGGATTGTTGATTTATGAGGCTTCCCGACTGGAGCGAGGAGCGACCTTGACTGTACGTTTCGAGCCAGGAAAGCAATGCGATTCGTGTAGGCTGGCGTACCGAGGCTGTTCGATCAAGCAATAAAACGACGAGGCCACGCTCTTGTAGTGAACCCTGAGAGCCACTTCCAGAGCCTAAACAGACATTCAAGCCCAAGAAATAACGGCAATACCTGCTCCCGACATCACACGACCACACAGCACCCCGCACCCTTCGGCAGGTTCGCGTAGTGGATAGCATCGAACTCGTCGGTTCCTGGTACTTCGCCTAGGCATCGTGCCACGGTGCTAAGCAAGCATAGAGGCTGGAAGTGGGACCTCACATCCAACGCAGCAGGGCTGCTGCATGCAGACAATGAATTTGAAGAAAAGAAAGTCTAACTGTTCATTCTTCTGAGTGTGCTGGAATCGTTTCAATTCTTTTTCTCACAGATGTGTCTTCGGCGGGAAGTTCCGCACGGGCTCGTGGTGGATTTGCTCCATTCCAGTTCTGGGCTCCTCGTGTGGGCCTGTTTGGTGTTGATCTTTTTTCCTTAAGCAGAAGGAAACGAAGCAAGTGTACGGCCGACGAGGGAAGCGCAGAGCCGGACGTTGCTCACATGCCGCCGCCTCACCGGTTGAGTAAATGCTGTGGCTGCTGCTCGCATTGCATTTGAAGATTTCGAGCTTCTCGTGGTAGGTGTAGTCACCTCAAGCATTTTGCCAAGTGCCGGGCTTTATGTCAGATCATTGGGAAGACTAAGAGCCTGCATCGATCTTCATCTGCAGGACAGCAGGATCGTTGACGTAGCTCGTCTCCATGCCTGCAGGGCTCCCGTGACGTCGAGGCGAGTGGCTACATTTGCTGTGCTTCTCTTTGCCTTTCCTGCCATCTGCGGCGACTGCTGGGCTCTAGTCAGAGAACTGCAGTCAGCCCATACTCACCACCACATGTCTCCGAGAGAAGTCTATAACTGTGGGCTATGGGGCCTTCACTGCAAGCTGCAAACCCCGTCCCTATGAGACGCGACGAAAGCCCTGCCATGCCAGCAAGGCGCATGTCTTGAGCTTGGTGCTCTGGTTGGGCCCAAAGGAGCCAATGAGGCAGGTCATGCGAAGCACGGAGCGCATCTGCGCCTTTAGAGAGCCAGCAGATAGCTAGACCACTGTCCTTGACTACTCTGCGCTTCACAGGGCAGGAAGCGACTGGGAGCTAGAGTCTGCAGGGTTACATGGGAGAGAGATCGAGAGAGTGAGAGAGGTGGCGAGAGTGCAAGTCCGAGAGGCAAGCGGAGACTACTGCACGAACAAACAGGCACAGGGATGGGCCAGATGGATGTTGAGCCGCCACCGGGATTTAGATCGGCAAGTATCGGCACATGGCTTTGGGGCCCCGGCCATACGGGAAACACCCTCAGCCTCGTGCTCGGTCTGGCGCAGCGAGGCTCACAATGTCTGAAGCACTGCGACTCCACACATTTCACCAGCTTCCGGCTTGCCTTTCGCATCAGGACCACACCTTCTACACCTTCTCTTCCTTATCCGATGTTTTTCTGCTCCAAGAGCCTTCACAGTGTCCCAGTTGGTGGCAGCTGCATCGTAGCCTCAGGCTCTTGGAAATGGTCTCACGGACTCAGATGCCAAATATCACTGGTCGTGCCAAGCTTCAAGTGTCATAGTCCTCCCAGGCTTCCCTGCAACCGGAGCTTTGGAAAGCTGTCGTTTGCTTTTCCCGCCTGCGCCGTGCCTCCTCGACTTGAGAATGTTGCAGGTCTCAGTCTCGGCGGAGGACCGGGGCGCGCAGCAAGCTCCCGGCATGGTCCTGAGAGCTGCGAACTGCATACCGCCGCACTCTACCACTTTCTTTCTTTTTTGTTGGCTTAGGGGTCCGCTGGGGACCTCTCTCTCTCTGCCAGTCCTCAAACGGACAAATTATTCAGAAGCCCTCCAACCACCCTTCGGGTCAGAAGCCGGCATCTGTTGCACCTTCATCTCACCTGCCAGGAGACTCATTCTTCGGCTTCACGATGCTGATGATGCCATCACAGGTCCTGGTCCGAAACGGCATGCACGACTGCAATCTTGCCATCAAGATTTCATTCCTAGTATTCAGGGGCCGCCGAGCTGCTCATAGCAGCGATGCACAACCTCTGGGACCTGCCTGCACCTCGGCAAATGACATCGATCTTCGGTCTTGTGAATCAAATCTTCCGTGAGTCCGACGGTCAGCACAGATGATCTATCTAAAGCTGAGTCTGAAGATGCTGGCCGAAAAAACCGACTCGGACAGCAATAGGCAACATCTTTGCGCGATTTGTCCTGCCTGATCGCACACTTCGAGGCATGCCTTGCAAACAAAGGGCTTCTTGTCGTTGCTCTCGTGGAAGGTCCAGTTCGCGTTCTTGGTCATGCAAACCCAAAAACCAGCTGCTATCATGCTGAGCTGCAAGAAAAACCCAACAGCATGTTTGACATGCACCCTGCAGTCAACAAGGGCAGGCCACTGTATCCAGCTTCTTCTCTAGATGCTCGAGCATGCGGGTCAAATAGGCCTCAAAATGTCATGCCGTGCAGTGCAAGTTCACATGCAAGCGGAAATGGGTAAGCTACTTCTCAGATCTTGTCGCTGGCAGGGAATGCTGTTCCTTGCACCTATGCCAAGTACCAGACTCAGAAGACGGGACTGGGCCTTCGCCGCAGTACACATCTACATCCCGCAATGCAAAAACCAAGCGAGTCGCTCGGTAGCCCTCGTGAGCGACAGGTGCGCAGTCGAGCTTGTCGCACGCCTGAAACAAGTCCAGCAGCGCTCACAACTTGTTCCCATGTGTTGAGCTGAACTCATAAACCTTCCCGCCAGTCCCTCTGTCGCTAATCGCTTATCGAGCCTCCGAAGAAACGAAATTCATCCATGTAGTCGTTTAGTCACTGGTTACCTACACCTTGACGCCGCATTGCTGGACTCAACATGAACTCCCATGCCAAGCGCGCATTGTGAACGGATGCGCTGTAGAACTGCCGCATGACAGGATCGGGTGCACAATCGCCCTTCTCACGAAACACGGGAGTGAAGTTTCCACCAGCAGACCTACGGACCTAGAGAGCTTTTCCACATCTTGCCAGGAACGATGCTGGTTTCTGCTTGCAATAGCCGTGCTACGCTGCTACACTCGAAAGCTTTAACTTATCTGAAGTCCTGTCTTCTCGGAAATCGTCCAGCTGACTCGTGATGATACTTGCATTCATGTTTGAAGAACAATTCCAAGAAGAGCCCCTGGCAGCTTGGCATCGTGAAAACATCAATCCAAAGACTGCGACAACATCGGCAGCTGATCAGCGCTCTCCGTGTTCTGGCAGGTCCTTCCTAAAGATGTACTGACGTTCTCTCAAGCCGGCATCCAGCATCGTCGCCTAGCTAAAAACCCCGAATTTCGCTGGATGTGCCTGGGTCTGTGTCTTTGTGCATTTGGTATGCGCGGCGCGGGTGTGTGTGTGTGTGAGTGAGTGAGTGTGAGTGTGAGT